ATAATCAGTTAATTTTAGAGCCAAATCCGAATCCTCCACCGCGCTGATACCGAGTAATATAGATAAATAATATATAATACATGGTGTAGGTTTTCACTTGATCAACAGTTCCAAAGTTTCTATATACATACCGACACAAATTCTGTAAACCACACCGGAAGGGACATATTGGTATTGAAATTGTAACGCATCGCTTAGTTTTTTTTATAGAAAATGTCCTGAAGCATTTAAAGCAGGTCACACGCAAAAAATCAAATGTAGGAAGCAATTCAATTTTACTGGCAGATCCGGATCCGGAAGTGACGTCAGGTAAACTACAGATAGAAAACCGAGACCTGACAGTAATTTGTGTTTTATCATCAAACCATGTTAATAGTTGTGTCCATTGGGTATTTTTGGCATGACATCAATGTTACGCATCATTACAGACGTTAGGTATGACCAACACGGTTAACGTGTAACATCAAAAGCAACAATGGTAACATGACAGGATATATAACATTTTCATAACAGTAGATATAATGTAGATAAAGGTCACAAGGAAATATAAACACATAGCTAGAAAAGCATATTATCAGACTCCGTACAGAAAAAAATAACATAATCGGCATCAATTCATCACAGAAAAGTTTACATAGGGCCGTAAATAGGTAACTAAAAATATAAAGGGACTTAACTCTGGATATCCCGTCTGAAGTCAGATGGAAAACTGTGATTATATACTATAGTGCAATATACATGTTTTACACGCATCAACTTTTTTTCGGTGTAATATATATTATTCTGATTTTAATAACATCAATATCAGTCAAGATAATAAAATAACACAGTTGAAATATAAAAAAAAAACCAAGAACAGATTCAAATTTCAACACCAAAAGCAAACAACTGCTGGCACAAAAACACAAAAATAATTTTCTTGTAGTTTTAGGAACAAACATTAATTTCTTGGTTTGCTTTCTTTAATAAAACACACTCAACATTTCTCATATTCATCTTCATCATATCAGGTCACAGAATTTATGACGTCATAAAACCAATGACGTCATACATGAGTACACACATCATTGATAAACCTGACAGAAACATTCCAATAAGACACTTATTTACATGATATGGAATGTTAACTTGAGTAATATAAAAATAATATATAAAACATAGTTAAGAATGAGATCTCTTAGTATACATCATGGATATGATTCCTAATATACAATATAGATTGACATGTATCACAGAAATGTGGAACGTGCCTGCTAATTATGTTTACGTGATAACTTCGTATTATTGAGTCTCAGCATCAACGTCATAATTTCGGTAACATTCCTACTTAAATGGTCCACTGTTATTTCTTTCCGTCCATTACGTAAAAATCCTGTTTGTTATTGTCTACATTTATCGACTTAATTACAGACCACGTCACCAGCCTTTTTTTCTTCAATAAACGTCACGTAATGGGTCCAATGTAAACGATGTACAAATTGTATCGACCAGGCCCAACTTGTGCCTGCCCTGTTCGCTTTAATTACCCACTAATGGAACCTTAGTGACATCTCACATTGCACGGTGTGTCGGGTAGGACACGCTGAACGCTAGGATCCATTACATCAAGTATAAGTAATCAATGGAGACTGGTTAAAGAGGAGATGTAGATTGTCCCCTTACATCGCTGATCTCTGACATTACTTAGGTAAAGTTAACGATAGAGAGATAGAAAACCTGTAGCTAACCAATAAACCAAGCTCATTACTGGTCTTATACGACTTGATCTAAAACAACCCACTGACCTGTAACTATCATTTCAGGCCATATATGCCTTCTAATTAATTCTACAAGAAGACATTATAACATTGAAATCGATGACGGATTATGAGTAACAGGTTTGAAACATAGCTCCAATACATGTTGTTGACGTAGACTGGATGTAGATGTCCATGAACTTGACCACTCACGTGAGCCACCATGGATAATGTCATTCAAACCAAACGGATATGAATAAAACCCGAATTCCATTTAAAGATTACGTTTCAATAACTTTATACTCTGGAGGCCCTGAATCAGTATATAATATCGTCATTGATACTCTGGAGGCCCTGAATCAGTATATAATATCACCGTCACTTATACACACACAGAACATTGAGGCTTAGAAGCATATACATATGTAACAATGCGGCCCCGAAGCAGTATATAGTAGCATCATCATATACATAACAATACGGTCCTGAAGCAGTATTACATGTACAAAACATTCAGGTCTTGAAGCGGTGTAAGTGTAAAACACATGTCTATAACATTGTTATACACATTGTACACATGAATAGCATCCAGGCCCTGATTTGGTATAGCATTGTCATATACATGTACATATAAATACTTGTAACATTCAGGCCCTGATGTGGTATAGCTTTGTCATATACATGTACATAAAATACTTGTGACATTCAGGCCCTGATGTGGTATAGCATTGTCATATACATGTACATATAAATACATGTGACATTCAGGCCCTGAAGTGGTATAACACTGTGGTATAACACTGTCATATACATGTACATATAAATACATGTGACATTCAGGCCCTGAAGTGGTATAACACTGTCATATACATGAACATATAAATACATGTGACATTCAGGCCCTGAAGTGGTATAACACTGTGGTATAACACTGTCATATACATGTACATATAAATACATGTGATATTCAGGCCCTGAAGTGGTATAACACTGTGGTATAACACTGTCATATACATGTACATATAAATACATGTGACATTCAGGCCCTGAAGTGGTATAACACTGTCATATACATGAACATATAAATACATGTGACATTCAGGCCCTGAAGTGGTATAACACTGTGGTATAACACTGTCATATACATGTACATATAAATACATGTGACATTCAGGCCCTGAAGTGGTATAACACTGTGGTATAACACTGTCATATACATGTACATATAAATACATGTGAAATTCAGGCCCTGAAGTGGTATAACATAGCCCTGTACCTTACACAAAGACCCGAAATCGAATTAAACTTACAGGTAAAATTGATAAATTGATGTTTGTATACAGGATTTAACATTAGAATTCCAATGCTGACTCACAGTGTTATGTCTTACTTACTGGTATCGTGTGTACTGAACTATTTCAAAGCATAAGGTGACCCCGAATAGATGACCCAGCTGATCCGGATTAAAGGACCCAGCTGACCCCGATTAGAGGACCCAGCTGGCCCCCATTAGATGACCCAGCTGACCCCCATTAGATGACCCAGCTGATCCCGATTAGATGACCCAGCTGATCCGGATTAAAGGACCCAGCTGACCCAGATTAGAGGACCCAGCTGACCCCCATTAGATGACCCAGCTGATCCGGATTAAAGGACCCAGCTGACCCCGATTAGAGGACCCAGATGACCCCATTAGATGACCCAGCTGACCCCCATTAGATGACTCAGCTGACCCCCATCAGCTGAGCCCTAAAACAGTTTGTATTTGTTAAAGTTCTTCGACTTATCAGAACTTCAAAAATTAAAAAAAAAACATTGAAAATCCTTTCAAAACCTGGACATGTAGTCAACACATTTACTCAAGTATGAGATAAAACCAAATGATATGTACAGCGACCATCAGTAACAACAATCGTTCAACCAGCCTCCACTCCAAAGATTCATATACATTGTCTTTAAACAAGTATTTAATAGCAATTGATATTTCAACACACTCATTCATAACCAGCCAAGCAAAAATTACTGTAGTTTTATGGGTTACCACTACCAATGATATAAAGTAATGATGAAGGTGTGATTGATATCACTAACACGACATACATCCACACTCGTATTAATCGAACACCCTTTAAAACGTCAGAATATTTCACTGAAGTCAAGTAGAAACAGAATACTGAACGAAATTGACCATCATTATTTTGAAATTTTCTGTCGTCTTCTGGACTGAATTGGGTTCAACCACTCCTGAAGTGGTTGCTGTAATATTTTCAAATGTTTTGTCGATAAATGTGACGTCATTAATCATCGAGAAAGATGAAATCACTGTTGTGATTTTGGTGGTCTATTTACCTATTTACCGATACATGTCGTCAGTGAAAGTATCGATCACAATCTAGAACAGTGTCAGCTCGACAGTGCTTTGTTAAAGAGTGGACATATGTACAGAGTTAGGTCAGCAGTCTGTTATCTTCGCGGCGTCAGCATGTCCGTTTGTTTACTATGAGAATATTGACATATTTACAGAAAAAATCCATTCAAACAAAAACCTGTGTGAATGAGAACAAAGATCAATAGAGATTTCTGTCTCACAGTTTCAGTGATCAACTCCTGCCTCACAGTCTCGGTGATAGACTCCTGTCTCACAGTTTCAGTGGTAGACGCCTGTCTCACAGTTTCAGTGGTCGACCTCTGTCTCACAGTTTCAGTGGTAGACGCCTGTCTCACAGTTTCAGTGCTCAACTCCTGCCTCACAGTTTCAGTGGTAGACTCATGTCTCACAATTTCAGTGGTTGACGCCTGTCTCACAATTTCAGTGGTAGACTCATGTCTCACAGTTTCAGTGGTAGACGCCTGTCTCACAGTTTCAGTGGTAGACGCCGGTCTCACAGTTTCAGTGGTAGACGCCTGTCTCACAGTTTCAGTGCTCAACTCCTGCCTCACAGTTTCAGTGGTCGACTCCTGTCTCACAGTTTCAGTGGTAGACTCCTGTCTCTCAGTTTCAGTGGTAGACGCCTGTCTCACAGTTTCAACGGTCGCCTAGGTCATTCTACTGGTCACGACAGTACAAAAACTCGCAAAAATTATCAACAAAAAAACACTCTCATACCGGGTATAATGATGGTTTAAAATGGTTACGAATTTGTGTTTTCAAAACTTAATACATTTCACTTATAACTCAATGCACCATCAAATTATTAAGGCGCGGTGAGGGTTATGTCCCTTTAAAAAGATGACGCATTTGAGAGGTAGTGTTTGTAGATGTCGCTAGTAATTATCTATAATGACTTTTGACGTCCGAGGACGATCCCTCCATTTTTCTTGTCCTATGCACACCCCTGGTCCCCGCCACCACCGTTCTAAATCCTTGTATATCATCGGCTGGTTATTCTGAGACTCGTGAACCATCGCGCACAGACGGCACCAGAAAAATGTGTTCACAAAGCTTCCGGTACCCTTCCACTTGAAGTACTCATTAAATAAGTCGTCATCTTGATCCAGTTTATGTAAATACTCTGCTAAAGCTTTTGGAGATTCGAATTCATCAACATGGATGAAAGAGTGTGGGGGTGCTGCTCGCCTATAGTCCTCCGGGGCCGCTCCCATCACAATTGGGATGACGTCATGTCTACAAAAATTAAAACAAATGGATAAGAACCTTTCTGTATGAAACAACAATTGTGACGACCGTTAACAGGCTTTTATCGTATTCTTTGTGATTGTTTTATGCCATGCTAAATCGAAACCGAAACCGGATGTTCTTATGAAACTAGGTGGACTAGTACGTTATCCAAACCGCTAGGATTAACAATAGTGTGCGGAAAGCAGGATCCTCGAAATGAGTTCAAGTAAACATGTCAACTGAGTTTAAATGTAATTCGACAGGTTCGGGAAAGAGAGTAGAGGTCGCTTCTAAAGTAGTTTTCGAACCTCGTAGAACCGGCGGATTTTACAGAACATCAAAAGGTCTTAGATTATAGAAAATTCATATTTCACAGAAACACATACATATGCGTTTTACATTCTCCTGAGATGTTTTCTGTGAAACAGTGTAATTCTCTCGTTGAAGTCTCGCGTGAAACGGGATCCAATTCTATTGAATAGGGCTTTAACTATGAAAAGGTCGCAATTCGCAAATATCTATTTACCGTAAAATATCTTTATAAATATAACTTGAAGAAATGGTTTTACTCTGCTAAATCATTTCTGATTATGCATTTCATTTCGTTTGATCTGATTATAATATCCTAATATTTAAACCATCTACTGACCATTCTGTGGTAAGCCCTGATGTGATGGTTACTACCATCTACTGACCATTCTGTGGTAAGCCCTGATGTGATGATTACTACCATCTACTGATCATTCTGTGGTAAGCCCTAATGTGATGGTTTCTACCATCTACTGACCATTCTGTGGTAGGCCCTGGTGTGATGGTATCAGTCATCTACTGACCATTCTGTGGTAGGCCCTGGTGTGATGATGTCAACGATCTATTGACCATTATGTGGTAGGCCTTGGTGTGATGGTGTGAACCATCTACTGACCATTATGTGGTAGACCCTGGTGTGATGGTGTCAACGATCTACTGACCATTATGTGGTAGACCCTGGTGTGATGGTGTCAACGATCTACTGACCATTATGTGGTAGGCCCTGGTGTGATGGTGTCAACCATCTACTGACCATTCTGTGGTAGGCCCTGGTGTGGTGGTGTCAACCATCTACTGACCATTATGTGGTAGGCCCTGGTGTGATGGTATCAACCATCTACTGACCATTCTATGGTAGACCCTGGTGTGATGGTTTCGACCATCTACTGACCATTATGTGGTAGACCCTGGTGTGATGGTATCAACCATCTACTGACCATTGTGGTAGACCCTGGTGTGATGGTGTCAACGATCTACTGACCATTATGTGGTAGACCCTGGTGTGATGGTATCAACCATCTACTGACGATTATGTGGTAGACCCTGGTGTGATGGTATCGACCATCTACTGACCATTCTGTGGTAGACCCTCGTGTTTTTGTCGTATTCTGAGGCCACACACAAATACTATCACAAGTAATGTACCTTATCTATACTGTTAGCCCTGATAATATTCATTTCTCCAGCACATATGTGTATACGTCTGCCAAATAAAACTTTAATTTATTTAAACAAGCAGAATATCTTGTACTGTGGTTAAACCATATTTGCAGTGTAAGCGAACATGGGTGCTGTCTCCGGGAGAACCGTACATAGCCGTTTAATTTCCCGGTGCTAATATTTCGCGGTTGTCCTAGGTTGGGTAAGTGCACAGGTAGTCAGTCTACTTCGTGTATATATAGATATGAACTCTTGTCCGTGTACACAGGGTTAGCAGATATTTCCTGAAATTTTTATTCACCATAGAAATGTTAGGTGGATATAACAAACTCTACTTCCTTGCGAACATTACACATACAGAACACTTAAATACGAAGAAATTCGTCATTTTCCTTTAATAAACATGAATTGGGGAGCGATTTTAACTTCCCGTCGGTTACACATGGCTGCGTGCACGATACACACACACCGGTTGTACCTATCAGTTCGCATAATCGCCTGAATTAATTTGAATATTTTAACCGCACTTATCAATGTCTATTCGAATTCTACGTCCAGGTTTGAAGGCGACAGATGGAAGCAACATATCTACACACTATTTCAGTCCTTTGTATACAGTAAAACCAGATATAGAGTTTTGATAATTTGTGATTTTTCTTAAGAAATATCAATAATATAAAATACCCAACACCTGATAGACAACATTGACATAACAGGGAGTTAATGAAGTGTACCATTGTCCAGGGGCAGACCAAACATGGCAACAACTTTCCGATAATCATCATTACATCTAGACCGAAATAGCCAATGGCATGGTGGGGTGGTCTCTGAACGTAAATATTTTTTAAACGATAGCAAACAGTGGCAAGTCAACTATATACTGTTTCATATTAAAGGGTGCATTTTTTCACCTGGATTGTTACCTGAGATTTACCTGTGCTTCACACAATACACTTCTTACGACCAACATAGAAAACTAGATAGATATATTTGGTCATTCCACATTAAAAATAAGTAATTTATGATATATTTAGTACATCCTATGTGACAAGTAAAGACCATACAGAAGAGATATTATGATATTTAGATAAAAATAAAGCATATTTTGTAATTGAAATCAATAGAAGATACATTTAGGGAGCTTGTAGGCTATAACAACGAAACTTTACCATTGATTAGAAAACTATCACGAGTTCTAAGAAATGCATTTCACTTAACATGCTATTGATGTACTGATGAATAAATTAGAATGATAACTCAGACGATCATATCATCAACCAATATAAAATAGACATATTTTAAATGATTGATCTTAATATTGTTTACCGTCGTTTAACAAAAAAAAAAGGAAATGACGGTTCACTCGCAAACCGTAAACACTATCGACATACTACTATAAGTAATCTTGTCAGTGACCTTCTGAATGAAAGGCTACTTATTTTTTTTAGTTAAGCCGTAACCTGCATGACACCGGTTGAAATGATCAGACACATAAAAATTACGAAAAGGTGCTAGTCATTTGGGGTTTTTTTTGTTAGTTTGTTTGTTTGTTTGTGTTTGTTATTTTACAGCCTCTGTGTAGTAAAAAAATTATCAAAAATCAAATTTAAAATATAGTGTATCTATCAAGGTATGAAGTATATTATATTATTTAATGTTCAGAATTTAGCATTTTTGACACGTGATAATGCTTAACGCTTGGAGACAGGGGGAATTTATTCTCTTTTTAATTATTTAAGAAGATATCTTTTGTGTATAGCCAGAAAATAGCGCGGGGGGGGGGCGATGGATTTTTTTTATCTGGTGAACACATATTTTATTTCACAAATGTAAGTAATTCTAAAGAAGTTTGAACTACATGCATGCTGGAATAATGGAACAGAAGTATGTGAAATTGTGGAAATATCAGGACGATTGTTAGAAATCCTAAGGTATGACGTCATATACTATATGTAATGGTGTCTGTTATAGAATATCTCAATGCTTTATATATGTAGTTAAAAGAGAATAATTTTTACAAATATTTAAACTACTTCTACAATGTAATTAGCATGGAACCGTGATCTGATAAATTAATGATACCATTACAATGTACATCGCACGATCTTCATTTGTAAATACTATCAACAGAGACGGTAAACACAAAGTACCAGATGATGGACAGTACTAAGGCATATCTCTGCCAGTCAGTGAAATTTATTTGCAAGATACTGAAGGCAAAATAAATAAGCGCACCACTTACTGGTATCACAATCCTAAAATATGTCATAAGTACAACGCTATTTGATTTTATTTATTGAAATTACGAGAACACTAGACAGGTACAAACGACTAGAGCCAGAAGGCATGGACGTGTGTCGGTCGCGAGTTTAACGCCCTCTAGTGGTCCTGCGACCTGGATATCGCGTGAACGTTACTGTCTAGCATCAAATGGATTAAAGAAATATACCTTTAGATAAATGTTTGTTTGTAGCAATTGGCTTCATATGAAAACGTGTATTTATCTATGTGTCTAATACTGATGGTAATGAATTTAAATCTATCAAACTAAATACTAGCCACGAAACGCCTACACATGAATACATCTATACTTGATGAATTAACAGATGTAGTCAAATCTGACCTTTGACACTAACCTTGACCGATGACCACACAAATATGATAAGTAGAGTAAATTGATATACTACTAAAGGATAAATATGAGCCAATTCTGTTGAGAGTCCTCAAGGTATGACTGATGGTACGCAATAGGGCAGGACGGACATGGGAACACATCCCCTCTCCCACCTTCCCCTCACATGGGAACACATCACCTCTCCCACCTTCCCCTCACAAGGAAACACTTCCCCTCTCCCACCTTCCCCTCATAAGAAAACACTTTCCATCTCCCACCTTCCCCTCACATGGGAACACATCCCCTCTCCCATCTTCCCTCACAAGGAAACACACCCTCTCTCCCACCTTCCCCTCTCTCCTACATCCCCTATCCCACCTTTCCCTCACAAGGGAACACATCCCCTCTCCCACCTTCCCCTCACAAGGGAACACTTCCCCTCTCCCACCTTCCCTCAATACTCACCCACAAACACATATGTTGAGTGTATACAAACCTAGTGATCTACATCCACAAAGTTTTGCTATTGGTGATAGATCCTGTTATATATTTACCTTCAACCTTCCCTACAGTTATACACTACAGGAGACTGACCTCCCTATGCTTGTCTGTGACTAATGCCCCCTTCCCTTGTACATGTCTATGACTAATTATCTCCCCTGCTCAGTGATGAACCACCAGGCAAGAAAACGCCCTCTGTCGGACCCTTTATGTCTGTTTTGGTTTAAAGCAATTACATAACCTTATAGTGGAGTGTATGGAGAGGAAGAGGTGTCAGGTAATAGTACATATAACATTACAGTGGAGTGAAGTTGTATGTATGGAGAGGGAGAGGGGTCAGGTAATAGTACATATAACATTACAGTGGAGTGAAGGTAATAGTACATATAACATTACAGTGGAGTGAAGTTGTATGTATTGTATAGTACATATAACATTACAGTGGAGTGAAGTTGTATGTATGGAGAGGGAGAGGGGTCAGGTAATAGTACATTTTACATTACAGTGTAGTGTAGTTGTATGCATGTAGAGGGAGAGGTGTCAGGTAATAGTACACTTAACATTAAAGTGGAATGTAGCTGGGGGAGGGGCGGCTAATGTCATTCATTTAAACAGTGGTGTTTGACCTTCCACCTAGTATGTTTTTATACCAATATTTTCTGCCTGTTGAGAGACTCGCTTTAAGATACATTAATTTGTTCTAATGACATGCAACATAGGATAAGCAAATCTTACTTTGATTTTTGACTACGACGAGTTTGGATTGGGGAGGTTGACCTAATGACAAGATCAGACAGATGAAACGTGTTTCCCTGTATCTGACAGATTTCACCCCATCCTCCATAGAAGGAAGAACGCTTAACACGAACCCGAAAATATTTTGAAACTAATATATATATAGGGGAGGGCAGGTGGTGAAGTGATTATTGTCCCGCCTTTAACCCAGGAGACCACACAGTTTCTCATGGTAGACTATCCCGATCGTCCTGTTTCCTCTCCAAAAAAACCCTACATGTTTTACTTTTATATCAATAAAAGTTTGATATTCAAGAGTCCGATAAAACCGAATACGTCATCTAAACTAGTAAATAAACAATAAACTTATACTTACTGAAGGCCATTGACGAAGAATTTTTCTGTGATGTAGTCACGACAGTTGGAATTTTCAAAAGCTAAATAAAATTTGTAGTCTTTATCAAGCATATCAAAGCACTTTTTGGAATTGTGACGTGGGCATTTTAGGGGACCGCACGCCCCATAAATATCCACGGAAATATGTTTGGATAACTCCGAGGCATACTCCCGCCGACCGTTCCTTCCTCCACAGTTCGACACAAACCATGCCACTTTCTTGGTTTTACCACTCGCATAACTCTTATTCTGTGGAATAGTCTGCACTGCTGGGTCAAATGGCACAAATTTTTCATAAGGCGCAACAATGGTAGAATCGTGTCGGTACGTGGCAGTCCAGTTAAATACGTCCTTGACCGCCTGCAGGCCTGGTGTGTGGTACGGCGATTCCAACATGTAAAGAATCCACACTTGGTGAGGTGGACGTTTGGTCCATGGGCGTGCGCCTGAGTGATGTAACATAACAGCGTCAGCCTCGCGCCCTAGCGACCGATCATCCGTCACGGTACAACGGTTTACAGGACATTTCTGGTGTTTAAACTGTTCCTGGCCCCTCCGGATATTCCAGTGTCCAACACCATGATAAAGCAATATGGTTTTCAAAGGCACGTCTTCTTCTTTTTCAGCTTCTAACAAAGATTTTGGTCGATGGCGCATTTGCGCTACTATCCTATCGTCACTATAATGATCCCACTCCAACCAGATGCCCCTCGGTGCATCTATTGTTCGACCAAATGTATTTCCTAGTTCCTCGTGGTTTAACGATTTATTGGGTTTAAAAACATGATTAATTTTTTCTACAGCCGAATTTTTTCCGAAAAGCTTGTCTCGATCTTTTATATGAGAATGGAACCTTTTGCCATCGTCACGCGGAACAGGGCGCTTTCCTATCCTGAGGCCCCATGGCGGGTCCTGGTGCTGGTAGATCGGTCCCCAAAGGTCGTGATGGTACACGTTAAATACAATCAAAAGCAGGCCAAACCCAGTAAGTGCATACGTCACAACTTTCCGGAAGTGGAATCTCATCTTTTGGAAACAGATTATTTCCCGGCATCCACCTGGTCTTAGTAATCTGTAACGAAAGACATTATACAGTGTAATATAATACACACGTTTATTACACGTACATTCTATAAATAGTATCACTCTTACATTGGCATGCGTTTACTAAATTGCTAGAATATTTCATTGAGTTATATTTTCTTACGTGCGTTGACGCTGTGGATTATTTTGTCGTGTGAGTTGACGCTGTGGAATAGTTTGTCGTGTGAGTTGACGCTGTGTAATATTTTGTCTTGTGAGTTGACGCTGTGGAATAGTTTGTCGTGTGAGTTGACGCTGTGGAATAGTTTGTCGTGTGAGTTGACGCTGTGGATTATTTTGTCTTGTGAGTTGACGCTGTGGAATATTTTGTCTTGTGAGTTGACGCTGTGGAATATTTTGTCTTGTGAGTTGACGCTGTGGAATATTTTGTCTTGTGAGTTGACGCTGTGGAATATTTTATCGTGTGAGTTGACGCTGTGGAATAGTTTGTCGTGTGAGTTGACGCTGTGGAATACTTTGTCGTGTGAGCTGACGCTGTGGAATACTTTGTCGTGTGAGTTGACGCTGTGGAATATTTTGTCGTGTGAGTTGACGCTGTGGAATACTTTGTCGTGTGAGTTGACGCTGTGGAATAGTTTGTCGTGTGAGTTGACGCTGTGGAATATTTTGTCGTGAGAGTTGACGCTGTGGAATAATTTACTGTATTTGTTGACGCTGTGGAATATTTTGTCGTGAGAGTTGACGCTGTGGAATAATTTACTGTATTTGTCGACGCTGTGGATTATTTTGTCGTGTACATGGATGCTGTGGAATAGCTTGTTAAAATTGTTGACGCTGTGGTATATCTAAACAATGAAATGCTTTCTGATCGGATTCATAAAAAGGACAAAGGCAAATTGATGAAGCACGTTGTAATAGTATACATGTTTGGTCCATTGCACTGTATTATCTAATGCAATGTTACTTTTGTGTTGTGTTCAGTTTCGTAGTGTCTCGTGTTTGATTCGCTGTGTTTTTAGTAAGTAAAATGTAAATCGATATTTTTTGCAACATTTTTGTATTTGCATCATTGATGACCTTCAGATAAATCAATATCGTTCGATATAGATGTATCAATATTATAATAACGATATAAAGAGAAATTCGATGAAACATGGCATCTGTAAGCTCATCAACGTATTTTACGTACCAATCAAGTCAGTGGAATAAAAAGGATGTTTTATTTCTATGGCCGTCGGGCACTTTATTTCAGATTAACTTCCGACCATCAAAGAGGATTTCAATCTGAAGTCTCCATCCACTAGTGGTGTGGATTATAAAGATTGCGTTAGCTGAGGTTTAGTCGATACCATTAAGTATTCGATGTCACATGACTATGTGTTTAACTCCAACACAAGTGACTATTAAGTTCACGACGTACTAGATCCGAAGTATTTTGTAATGGTAAAGTACACAACCTCAACATAACGTTGTTACTATATAGTTTTATCTTTGTCCAGCTTTTGCCCGTAACTTCGCCGGACATGAACGATAAACTGTCTCCAAGAATGTCAAGAGTTTTAACACAATTAGATATCGCTGTCAAACTGACACTTGCTGAAAGGGGGCGGGTTGTTCTTTCCTTATTAGGACTTATATAGATAACAATAAAGGGGGACGGGTGTTATTTCTTTACAAGGACTTACATCGATAACAATATAACGTGCGGAATATTATGTACCAGTTGATATTTACACGGAAACACATGAAATAGATGCTGTTCCGGAGTCTCAAATGGAATGGTGTTTACTTTCCATCGGTCAAGGTTGAGCATATAAAACAAATACGAACTACAGCATACAGACTACAGACAAAGACTCCTTTCATCAGATACCCTCTCACAGCCTTCTCACGTTCATTCACCACTTCGCATTAAGACAAACTACAGCCATTTCAGAATTATAATTTACCGTATACGTTAAGGCTGGTAACGTGTATATTATTTATGTAAGAGTACAGTTGTAGTATCTCATCAACAGTACTGTTTTTACTGTCGTGTAGTTATACAGTTTCTGTAGTCTCATTCACAGCGAACATTGACCAACAAAACAGTTTTGTCATGCTGTGTACCAAATCTGGTTAGAATCGGATCATTTTAGGACAGAATAAAGGATGGCACACAAAAGATGGAAAAGATTTTTAAGTCAATTTCACAGGAAGACGACAGAGATGTACAACCACGAAAGTTTGACAATCGAGAAATTGTCTGTGTTTCTGTTTTTAAAGTCGGAAAAATTTGAAAAATAAAATCATCAAAAACTAAGTATTTATAAGATGACAGCTATGAATACCAATGAATGTAACTCCACTGACGATACACCCAGCATAACATATGTAATCATATGGAACAGGGCTGTGCTTACTGAACCAGGAAGTCGAAAATCATATTTGAACTGAAATATCCTCGTCATCCACCTCGATATTGAAAAAAAACAGGCGGATATATCGATCACTGTCACGTGCTACGTAAACCCGAATAGGTCACTGGCATCACTCTGTACAGTCAGCAATAAAAACGGCCTTTATTATTCCGTCGTTATACGTGTATTACAGACGTAATACCGGATAACTTAACGGTATGAAATAAAATATAGGAGACCTAAGATCAATGGGATACCACAGGGACATGAGAACTTGATACAGATGATTTCGATGTGTTTATAACATTTTTAATATTTAAGATTTTTAATGTGCGTGTTTGTGTGTGTGCGAGTGCGTGCGTGCGTGTGTGTGCGTGCGTGTGTGTGTGTGTGTGTGTGTGTGGTTGGTTGGGGTTGCTGGTGTTGTTAGGTCAGTGTGTGTGTGTGTGTGTGTGTGTGTGTGTGTGTGTGTGTGTGTGTGTGTGTGTGTGTGTGTGTGTGTGTGTGTGTGTGTGTGTGTGTGTGTGTGTGTGTGTGTGTGTGTGTGTGTGTGTGTGTGTGTGTGTGTGTGTGTGTGTGTGTGTGTGTGTGTGTGTGTGTGTGTGTGTGTGTGTGTGTGTGTGTGTGTGTGTGTGTGTGGTGTGTGTGTGTGTGTGTGTGTGTGTGTGTGTGTGTGTGTGTGTGTGTGTGTGTGTGTGTGTGTGTGTGTGTGTGTGTGTGTGTGTGTGTGTGTGTGTGTGTGTGTGTGTGTGTGTGTGTGTGTGTGTGTGTGTGTGTGTGTGTGTGTGTGTGTGTGTGTGTGTGTGTGTGTGTGTGTGTGTGTGTGTGTGTGTGTGTGTGTGTGTGTGTGTGTGTGTGTGTGTGTGTGTGTGTGTGTGTGTGTGTGTGTGTGTGTGTGTGTGTGTGTGTGTGTGTGTGTGTGTGTGTGTGTGTGTGTGTGTGTGTGTGTGTGTGTGTGTGTGTGTGTGTGTGTGTGTGTGTGTGTGTGTGTGTGTGTGTGTGTGTGTGTGTGTGTGTGTGTGTGTGTGTGTGTGTGTGTGTGTGTGTGTGTGTGTGTGTGTGTGTGTGTGTGTGTGTGTGTGTGTGTGTGTGTGTGTGTGTGTGTGTGTGTGTGTGTGTGTGTGTGTGTGTGTGTGTGTGTGTGTGTGTGTGTGTGTGTGTGTGTGTGTGTGTGTGTGTGTGTGTGTGTGTGTGTGTGTGTGTGTGTGTGTGTGTGTGTGTGTGTGTGTGTGTGTGTGTGTGTGTGTGTGTGTGTGTGTGTGTGTGTGTGTGTGTGTGTGTGGTGTGTTGTGTGCGTGTGTGGTGTTGTGAGCGTGTTAGTGAGTGTGTGAGTGTGTGTGTGGTTGGTTGGGAGTGCTGGTGTTGTTAGGGCAATATTCCATAAATAGTAAGAATGTCGATACTACAGACATTTATCTAGATTAGATGTTTATCTAATCCTGCCCCCTCCCCTCCTCAAAAAAACATAGTAAATATTAGAAATAAGAAATAACTGCCCTCAGGTGCTTGTCAAATATACCAGACTGAACAGAAAATGTAAACATTAAACTTGCATATATATTTATTATATTGGTCACGTGATACTTTATAGAAAAAGAGGCGCAAAGAACCTGTATCGCTCGGTTATAACATTTCTTATGTGACATTGCCTTTTCAAGTCATTTTCATCAGAAATCAATATAACGTATTACTACCAAAGCATGTAAAATGATAAAGATCATTTCGATAAAAGTGACAGTCTTCATTAGTTCTCGTGGCCTTTAAAGGTTGATCTTAAGAGTGTAAAATGATTGAGCGATCTGTGACCTAATCGGATCAACTCAAATAAACTAGACACGTGTAATCTGAACACAACATCATCAAAGCGTCATCACTCTAGGCCTCACATGTCTTTAGTAGAAGTTACTGTTTTTGTAGAGGTGTCTTGATCATTAACTGTATCATATACCCTTATAAAGGTTGATCACGGACAAATTCAACATCGTGATATTTAATTCATCCATGTAGATCTGCACATTTGAGTTGTGTGATTATGCTTAACCTCATGTGAGAGGTTTGACTCTCCCGACCCGCGGCGGTTTGTGTTTCTCAGGAAGCTGAGAAACGGAACGGCTTGTGCTTTTTTGGTTGTCTTTGGGCAAGGCTAAGTACTCTTAAGGGCATGCGACGAGCCTTCCATATGTTGTTCAGAGAGGTTGTTAGGCAAACCTACGCTAGCAGCAAACCAATCAACCGTCTGTCATTGCATCCTACCACGTTTCCTTATGTAACGTAACCCTACATTTTAGCGAAACTCTATTGCTAGAGATAAAAATACACCAAGTCCTGTCACAGTATACACCAAGTCCTGTCACAGTAAAGCAACAGGTGGAGGGTCTTGATGACTGTTGAGTGGTTTATTTGTAGGAAACCAACAGCTGTCGATCTAGATCTTTTACTAGGGATTTACAAGTTCGCTTTTACAGATCCCATAAATTCACACAATAGTAACTTGTCTCCACACTATTATGTCAAATCCCCGACATTATATACCTATATAATATGGAATATCTTACACGAATACTTATTTCGTCAGAAATTTAT